AAGTTTCTTAGGGTAAAAGGGGAGGGTTGGTGCAAGCTGACGTGGGTGGTGCGGGACTGGAGGAGGGACCCAAGCCCATCCCACCCACCGACCCTAAGATTTTTAAAGCAGGGGCTTTTGAAACTGGAACTTGACAACGACTGGCTGCTGAGAGCACTTCTTTGGCCATTCCTCCCACCACCATGGATGTGGCCTTTCCTATTTTCTCCCTGATTCTAGAATGGGTAGGCAAGGCCCTGAAGCGGGGGAAGGCCAGGAAGGTCCCAGTGTAGGGGCTGTTTTCAGTGCATGGGCGTGAACCTCAGGGTCTAGAGTGTTGCTCTTTCTCTCTGTGGCAAATTCACGGGAGCAAGGGGAAGAGGTTAGAAGGAATATTAATTCTCACACTCACTCCATGCGAGCCCTCCAGCAGTCTTAGCTTACAGATCACATCCTCGGAGAGGACGTCTGAGTCCACCCTTCTCAATCACGCCTCCCTGCTATTTCCTCTCATGGTTCTCATCATAATTTGCCTTTTTGTCTTTCTTTGAGTGTGTGTGTGCGTGTTTAATGTTTATTTTCCCCATAAGCAGTGAGCCAGGAGCAGAGGATCTTGTGAGTAGAGCATCTAGCATGGCTGGTAGCAGGGGCTAAAGAAGTTTCCGTGGAATTCAGTAACTCACGTATTCCCTTTATCATTGACTCACTGTTTTATTCATTCCTTTATTCATGTATTCCCTTATTCATTCCAGAAACATGTGCAATTGGCTAATGACTTTTCTCCGGATGTGAGTGTTCAATTTCCTATTCCTTGGCTTTTTGGGGGAAGGTGGGAGTAGGGACACGACTGCAGAATTCCAGGAATGCACCCACAATTTGGGAGAGCTGGACATTCTCTAGAAAAGAAGGGAAGATCCATGATAGCTGGAAGGTCCGAGCAAAGGATGCTATAGGACAGAGAAGACAATGTTGAGAGAGATGGGATGAAGGCTGGGCATAGGCAGACTCTTCTCTGCCCCACCCTGGACAGAGTCATCCCCATGTCCAACTTGCTCAGTGCGTGTGCTCTGTCTGGAGCCGCCTCTCCTGTCTTCATAAGCTGAAATCCTTCCCTTCCTCACTGGGCCAGCCCAGATGTCCTCGAAGTCCATCTCACTCCTCCAGCTGGAAGGGCCACTCCCTGCTGCAAACAAATCCCCGAACACAAAATCTGGACCTCCCTCATGGGGCTGACCACTTCCGGCCTGTGTTGTGGTGTGGTCCTTCTCCCAGGCAGAGGTTCTGTCTGACTGTTCCCAGAGATCCCACCAGAACCCAGCACATTCTGGCTGCTGTGCGTGTGAGCAGCAGTGGCTACGATCCCATTTTGTGGATGGGGACCTGGAGGCACAGACAAGCAGCTTGACTTGCCTTTGTTCCCGAAGCAGCGCTGTAGCTGTGCCTAGATCCAGGCCTGCGTTTCTGATCCCAGAGGCAGGCTCTTTCCAGGCAGCTTGGTGGGAGGTGGGAGCAGGGAGGGTGGACTGGGATCTGGGTCCTGAGAACCAGCAGGCTGGAGAGCTTCGGAGTTCAAATGGCCAAGTTCAGGGAAAGCACAGCTGGGGCGGAGCCAAGGTATTTATTATGCTTGGTCTCCAGCTCCAAACAGAGCTGATGGATGGAGCTGCTCCAGTTCCTATAAACAGCTCGGGCCTCCCTCCCCTCCACTCGCCCTGTTCTCAGCTACCACAGCCCCAACTGCTTCCAGTAAGACGGGGGAGGGGAGAGAGATGACCGAGGGAGGAAAAGAAGAGGCCAGTGAGGCGGGGTGAGGAAGAGAAGATAAGACAAGGTCCTAGAGGCAAGAAGAAAGTGGAGGGAGGAGAGAGGATTGTTTCTTTGACACACCACTGGCCGCTGCTGCTTCTGGGCAGCCCACACTCTGCATATCCCGCTCTGAGGCCCCTGTGTCCCCTGGGTTTGAGAAGCCTGTCCCCCCAATCTCTGTCTGAGGGCTGATTTTTTTTTAAAATTGATTTTTCACAGAGAAGAAGGAAGAGAGATAGAGAGCTAGAAACATCGATGAGAGAGAAACATCAACCAGCTGCCTCTTGCACACCCCCTACCGGGGATGTGCCCGCAACCAACGTACATGCATGCCCTTCACTGGAATCGAACCTGGGACCCTTCAGTCTGCAGACCTACGCTGTACCACTGAGCCAAACCGGTTTCGGCTGAGGGCTGATCTTAAGTCTTGGAGAGCAGGGGCCATCCATTCAGGAAACCTTTTCTGAACTTACCTCCAGGGACCGGGAGAGGACTCCGGCAGGACCTGCCTTCAGGAGCGCGGGGCCTGGCGGCCTTTCTGGCAGCCGTCCAAGGCTGTGGCTTTGAGCAGTGGCAGGGCGACAGGGCAGTCTCTCCAGAGGAGGTGACTGGGGTGGGCGGTGTTTGAAAAAGGAGGAGTTGGGCAGGTGGGGTCAGGATGACTGAGACGTTTCGGGCGGAGGAAGAGGGAGAGAGTGTGGTGTTTGGGGAGGACCTGCCTGATGTTGCGATTGCTGGCTGTGGAGTGGGGCAGCCTGGGTTGACGTTTCAGTGCGGGCACTTCTTAGCGGTGGGAACTTGAGTCTCTGTTTCTCTAAAGTGAGGATAATAAGAATAGCAATCTCTTCAATTATTGCTAGAAAAATCATAGACAATGTCCATCCAACGCTCACGGCAGTGCTCGCCCGGAAGTGCTCAGTGTCAGCTCTGAACACAGGCAGGAGAGGCCGGAGAGAGATGGGGCTGGAGGGCCGCAGGGAGCTGGCCTGGGAGCCGCCTGCCTAAAGGGCAGGGGCACAGAGCTCAGACAGTGGGTCCCTGGTCCCGGGGAGGTGCCAGGACAGAGGATGGAGCTGGTAAGACAGCTTTGGGCCACGGGTGCTGCCCGCCTCCCCTCCCGCCTGGCTCACAGGCCTGGCTCCTGCTGGAATGCAGTCACAGCTCGCGGAGCTAAGTGAGCCTGGCGGCCCCACTCCACAGCCTGTCCGTGTCCGGGCGGGCGAGCGAGGACCTCTCCTCTCCCTGGCCCTTGCCGGATGCTCTGATGACCTAGTTGGCAGCCATGGCTGAGTTTAGCCAAAAACAGGAATTTCTGCCTCACTGGGGGGTCTTGACCAGGTGAGCAAACACTCCTGTTTGCCAGGAAAAGGGGTCAGGAGCCTGATGGGCTCCTGGCTGGATGGGAGGCCCATAAAGCCTTGGGCTGAGCTCAGGCCCTGCTACTGCCTTCCCTGAGGCCTTCATTGACCACCTGCTGCGTGCCAGGGTGTTGATTCACATGCTCTCTCACTGCCCAGCCCCAACCATGAAGTAGGCATGTAAACTTATCCTTTGGTGATAGGTACTGGGAGCAGAGTTGGGAGGTAAGAGGCCACAGACCAGAGAAGAAGCTGGGTTGGAGAAATCTCCAGGATGTTGGTGTGTGTGTATGTGGAGGGGCGGGTGGGGCGGAGGTTAGAGCATCATTAAGCTGGAACTTGGGGGAGGGGAGGCTGGCACCTGCAAAGCAGCAGCATCTGGGTGTCAGGGGAAGTGGGGGCCACAGGAGGACAAGCACAGGGGGGCTGAAAAGTGTGAGTGGGAACCACTCCGTACTTTCTAGACTGCCTCAGAGCCCTTTGCCGGCCCCCTAACCATGTAAGGTGCTCTCACCTCCTCTCCCAGACCTCCCTGCCCCACCTTGACCCTCCAACTCCCTTCCAGAGCCCAGGAGAGCTCTTCATCGGGGCCCACCTGGCTCCTCTTCCAAGACCAGCCCAAACTGCAGCCTGGCGGCTCACTCTCGTTCTCCAGCCGTGGGGCGACCTTCGGTTCTCCAGCTGGGAGACGTCTGGGTGTCAGGGTGTCAGAGCTGCATGCTCAGAAGGGGCTGGGCGGAGACAGAGCTCTGGGATGGCTCTGGCAGGGAGGGCGATGACATGCCCGAGGGAAGAAGGCCTGGGTCGGGAGAGCTCGTGGTTTTGGTTCAGACGGCTCCAGGCAGATGCGCCTGAAAACACGTGGCCTGAGAGGAAGGTGAGAACCGCGTAAGTACAGCATCCTAGATGCTGGGGGAGTGTGCCAAGGGAGGGCATGGGTGATGGGAGGGTAGGGGTGGGAGCCGCTGCAGTGGAGAGGTCAAGGGGTACGCACTGAAAAGTGCACAGAGTCTGACAAACTCTTGGTGACCTTAGCCAGGGCAGTGTGGGGCTCTGAGGAGCTGAAGGCAGCCTGGGTGGGTTGAAAATGGGGGTAAGAAAGAGAAGCCACTTTGCTAAGAAGTTTACCCATGAAGTAGGAGAAGACAGGGGAAAGTTGGTTTAAGGATCTTTTCGCTATTTTTATTTTTTTAATCCTCACCCAAGGATATTTTCCCCATTGATTTCTAGAGAGAAGGGAAAGGAGGGACGGGGGGAGGTGGATAGAGAGGGAAACATCAACATGAGACAGACACATTGACCGGTTGCCTCCCACCTGCACCCCTACTGGGGCTGGTCAATTTGCAACCAAGGTAGGTGCCCTTGACTGTAAATCGAATCCGGTATACAGCCCGACACTAACCACTGAGCAACTGGCCCGGGCTCTTTTCACTGTGCTTAAAAATGAGCACCACTTGAGCTTAGCTGGTCTGAGAGGAAGAAGCAACCAGAGAGGAAGGGCTGAGGAGAGAGGGAAGTGAGGGAGCAAAGGAGAGAGGAGGGGGGAGGACCCCAAGGTGGGGCAGAGGGGATGTGCTCAGAGAAAGGGCCTCAGAGAGCCCAACTGCTGACAGCCGCCATCTCCTCCGCGGTGGGGGGAGCAGGCTTTGTTGAATGTGAAGGGACATGATGCTGCTGAGGCCCCGAGGTCCTGGGGGGTGAGGACCAGAAGAGCCTCAGCATTCCACCTGCAGGCCCATCTCCCAGGGGTGCGCCATGAGGGTCCAGTGACCACAACGGGAGTGGAGGAGGGCAGGGTTGGAACGGGTGCAATGGTGCCGAGAACCTGAAGCAAGGAGGAGGCAGGCAGGCCGCACAGTGTCTCCAACATCATTTTTTAATACATTCATGTGGTTATACAAAGAGCTAGTCCCGGGGCCTGGGCTGTGGCCTGGCCCTGGGAGGTGAGAGCAGCATTGTGTAGTGTTTTCAAAGACCAGGCGTGGAGGGGCCCACACCTGCCCCAAGCCTGAGAAAGAGTGTGTGTGTGCTGTGAGCACCTCTGTCACAATTCAACCAGGACTGGGCCCCTGGGCTGCCCCCCAGACCCCCAGGGCCCCAGATGGGGCCAGGACATCAAGTTCCAGCCCTGGCTTTGCCATTGACTTCCTGACTCCTCGATCCCTCTCTGGGCCTCAGTTTTTCCATCTGTAGAATGGGGCAGAGAGAGTGGAGTGTTCATTGTCTCACACTTCACCCAGCACCATCCTGAACCAGACCCCAGCCAAGCACAGGTGGGAGGGGAAGACAACAGCATAGGGCCCTGGGCTGGTCCCAGGACAGCCCATGGTTCCATGGGCAGGAGGAACAAGGGTTTAGATCTGGATTTTTTTTTTTTTTTAACCCACTTTTCTAAGAGGGGGTGGACCCAAAAGAGCGGCTGGAGCATTATCTTGTGATGTGGCACCTGAGAGAGCAGAAAAATCACTCAGGTCCAATCTCCCCAATCCACCTCCTGACACCCGTAATGGGGTCTGAATCCACCTTTTTCCCACAGGCTCTGCCACTGACTTGTGCATCTCTGAGCAAGTCCCTTTCTCTTCCTAAGCCTCAGTTTCCCCATCTGTGTAAGGGGGAGGTGGGACTCCATGGTCTCACATTCTAGGCTGTGCTCTTTGGAAAATGGGAATGCAAGAGCAAGAGGAGAGAAAGAACCCACACCAATCTGCAAAGGAGGGAGCGAGGGGAAACTGAGGCAGAGGAAGAGAGGGCCCGTGGCCGCCTGTCTTCTCTCTGCCTGCTTGGGAGAGTGGAGAGAGAGGGACTGGTGGGATGTACAGTGCAGGATGCTCCCAGGCCCCGTGCCAGCAACGGGGCCCACTTTCTGTCCCCCCGACAGCCAGCCAGCAGCCCCGCAGCGGCAAAGCTCATCCCCCCGAGTCAGGATGATGTGGTTCTGAATCTCAGTGCCGCATTTTGTAGCCGGGATACCCTGCAGGGAGGCTTGGAGCCCCTTTTATAAACTGGTGTTAAATACCAGCCTCAGAAGGTTGTCATCAAGGGGCAGACGCAGCCTTGGGTTTGCTACAGCTGCCAAGCCTGGGGCCAAACAGAACCAGAGGCCTCAGGCCTTCCCCTCCTGGGATGGAGCGGGGAGTGGAGGAGGCCACGGCGGTACTGGGGCCAGTGTGCAACCCCAGAGAGCCAGGTGGGGCAAAGAGTCTGCCCGGAGCCGGAAATGACGGACCAGGGCTGGCCAAAGCCCAAGGCAGCAGCCTGGGAACCCGACCTGCTGCAGCCGCCACGGTCTGCCTGGAGTGCTGGGCCCCAAGCACGCGCATGTGGCTCCGGTTCTCTTCCTGTTACAAGTTCGTCATGTTCCAGAGAAGCTGAGAGTCATTATCAGAAGATGTGACAAACAGTCTCCTTGGAAAGGCCTCAGACAAATCCTCCCGGTCTTTCCCTTCCCCGGCCCTGGCCTGGCGGGGCAGGACTCCCCCACTTCCCAGCCGACCCCCCTCCCTCTCCAGCACTCACAGCCCTGGGCTCCGCACTGTGTGGTCCCTGCACAGCGCTGGGTTGCCATCCCCGCCCCAATGGGGAGATGCTTGCTGTGTCCTCCGTGCCCAGCGCAGGGTGTGGCACAAAACAGATGTCGGGTGAAGATTTGTTGATCTGATGGGTCATCCTCATTCTTCGTCACTCCCGATACAGCTCGGCGTCCAGCGTCTGCAGCTGGAGCACATGTGAGGCCCGGGAAGTGCGGCACCTACCAGTGTGGCAGGAGGCGGCGACAGGAAGCCCGGGCTGGGGTTCAGAGACCAGGGCTCTGGGACCCCCCGCTCACGCTCACGGTGTGGCCCTGGTTTGGACCTCGCCCTCCTCTGTGCCTCAGGCTCCCCTCGGCTCCCCCCCCCCCCACCCCGCCATCCTGGGAGGGGCTCCCCACTGAGCTCTCCTGCAGCCCGGCTGCTCTAGGCTTTGTACTGCTGGTTGAACTTCTGCTGGCGGACGCAGCAGCAGGTGGCCAGCATGGCGAGGGCGACGGCGGAGACGAGCGTGAAGGTGAGGATGATGATGAGGTTGACGTTCTTGAGCCCCCCCTTCTCACAGTCCTCGGGGCGCACGTGGCTGAGGAACACCTCCTCCTGGGAGTCGAAGCGGCAGGTCAGGTCCCGGGTGGCGTCGTCCACGTCCACGCGGCCCTGGTGCAGCTGGGCCGCCAGCCAGCCGTTGCCGCAGCAGCTGAGCGGGTTGCCCTGCAGGTAGAGGCGCCGCAGGCTGGTCTCCAGGCCGCCCATGGCGCTGCTGGGCAGCAGGCTGAAGCTGTTGTTCCTCAGGTCCAGCACCTCCAGAGACACGGCCTGCGTCCAGGCCGGCAGGCGGCTCAGGCGGTTCTCGGCGAGGTTGAGCTGCTTGAGGCAGCTGAAGCAGGGCAGGTCCACCTGCAGGACCTCCAGCCCGTTGCCCTGCAGGGCCAGCACCTCCAGGGAGGCCTCCAGGCCCGCCAGGGCCCTCGTGGCCACATCCAGGCCCGGGTTGAAAGAGAGGTCCAGCTCTGTGAGGGGCGTGTGGAGGAAGGCACCCGCCCGGAGCGTCTCCAGCTCGTTGTCCACTAAGTTCAGGCTGCGGAGGGAGGAGATGCCAGAGAAGTCCACGCAGCCGGAGGACCCGGGCCCGCCCGGCCCCCCACACGGAATGACCCGGTTCCCCTGCAGGTTGAGCCTCTGCAAGCTCGCCAGGCCGGCAAAGGTTTGCGGGGGCAGGCCGCGCAGGGCGTTGTGCTGCAGGAGCAGCGTCCGCAGAGACCCCAGGGCCCCGGCGCCCAGCTCCAGCGTGCCCAGCGCGTTGTGGCTGACGTCCAGGAGCACCAGGCAGGGCAGCGAGCCCGCCCGCGGAGCCTCGAAGGCCTGCAAGCAGTTCCGGCTGAGGTTCAGGAAGCGCAGGGAGGTCAGGTGCTCGAGAAAGCCCTCGGGGACAAGCTCGATCTCGTTGTAGCTCAGATCCAGGTTCGAGAGCTGGGAGAGGGGGTGGGCGCTGGCGTTCCGGCGGCGGCCGGGGGGGTCCGAGAGGGGCGAGGCCGACCAGCCCTCGGAAGGGGCATGGGTGGCCTTGCCCCCCGGGGGCGGCCGCGCGGGGAGGCTGATGAGGTTGTTGGACACGTTCAGGTAGAGGAGCGCCGGGAGCGCGGCCAGGTCCGGGAAGCGGAGCAGCTTGTTCTCCCGCAGGTCCAGCCAGGTGAGCTGGTAGCCGGCCTGCGGCTCGGGGGCCATCTGGAAGGCCTCGATGCTGTTGCAGCTCAGGTCCAGCACCCGCAGCTGCGGGAGGCTGAAGTCGGAGATGCAGGTGAGGGAGTTCCGGGAGAGGTTGAGGTGGGTCAGGCGGGGCAGGGCCTCGAAGGCGCCGTCCTCGATGTCCATGAGCACGTTGCTGTGCAGGTCCAGCCGCTCCAGGGCGGGGGTGCCCCCGAAGGTCTGGCGGGCGAGGCGGGTCAGGCTGTTCTCCGCCAGGGCCAGGGTGCGCAGGGCGGGCGCCTCCCCCAGCAGCTGCTCCAGCAGGCCGCTGTACAGGCTGTTCCCGGACAGGTCCAGCGAGCTCAGGTGCGGCAGGTGACCCAGGCCCCCGGCGCTCAGCGCCAGGCGGTTGTGGGCCAGGTTGAGGTGCTCCAGGTGGGACAGGGCCTGGAAGACGCCCGGCTGGAGGAAGCTGATCTCGTTGGCGCTCAGGTCCAGGTGGCGGAGCGCTGCGTAGAGGCCGAGGGGCGAGGCCAGGATGCTCTGAAGCTGGTTTCCAGACAGGTCAAGGGCCTCCGTGTCCCACGGCAGCCCCGAGGGGACCTGCGCCAGGCCGCGGCACTGGCAGGAGACCTCCTTGTTCACCTGGGGAGGGGGAGGCAGAAAGAGGGGAAGGCATTAGTGGGTGCAGTAGGAGCTGGAATCAAACACGTGCCTCTGGGAAGGATGACGTGAGCTCCCACCAGGCTTGGCTGGGCTTCTCCCTTGGCCTATCAGGATGCTCCATGTTCCTCCATCCCAGCCTAATCACCCTATGTCTGGATGACCCCATCCTGCTCCCTGCCTTGTCTCTGGCACCCAGTACAGCACTGGCATCAGGGAGGGACTCGAGGAAGCTTTGATGGGTGGACAGAGAGGTGATAGAAAGTTAGAAGGACAAATGACCAGACAAAAAAACGCTGTACTAATCACTAACACATTTTATAGGAAGCTGAGCCACAGATCATCTAGAGCAGTGTTTCCCAAACTTCTGGCATATGTGTACCCCTTCTATAATTTTCGTAACGCTGAGTACCCCTCGTACTCATGAGAACGTAGAATTAGGCGCAACTAAGCACGGTGCAGTGCATATCCCCACCAAACTCCGGTGCAACGCGTACCCCCACCAAGCTCTTCCCGTACCCCTTGGGGTATGCGTACCACACTTTGGGAAGCACTGATCTAGAGCAGTGGTCAGCAAGCTCATTAGTCAACAGAGTGGAAAATCGCGGCTCACAAGCAGCACGTGGCTTGAGAGCCGCTGTCTGCTGACTACTGATTTAGAGCAAGCACATCAAACTCGCTGCCAACGGGCTGCAAGCCTTGTTTAAATGAACGAGGCATGCGGCCCGCGAGTTTGACATGCTTGATCTAGAGTGACCCGGGGCCGCGAGGAACAGAGCCAAGCTGGGGCCCAGGCCTCCTGGTTCCACACCCGGCTTCCTTCTGTGGGCCCGGGTTGTTACATTGGCCCAGTTGGTGTTAGACTGGATTAACCCGCTTTGGGGGAGTTGTTTCCAAAAGGAAAAAAAAAAAAATGCAGTTTGCCCTCTTGTCATCCGCTTTTAGCTTCCTGCCCTCCGATCTCATTCAAGCCCTCTTCCTGTGGGGCACAGCGCTGGGTCCCAGAGCCTGCCTCCTCGGGGACACTCCCCAGGAGCGCCCTTTCTGCTGCTGCTACCAACCCCCACCCCGTCAGTGGCTCTGCTTCCCATGCCCAGTCCCGATCTGGTCCCGGAGGTGGGGTGAGGGTAAGCGGCACGGGGGAAGTGTCCAGGGTCCCCACCCACGTCCTTGGAGGACAGCACTATGAATGTGTGTTGTGTGCCCCATCAAGTCACATGACCACCCTGGTTACTTATCCAGAAAGTAACTCATGCTTCCCTAGTACCCACTCAGCATCTTGGGTTTCTTGGCATTTTCAGACCCACGGTCTCGCTGGGTCTTCGCAATAGCCTGCCTGTCAGTAGGATGGCCCCTACTTAAGAAAACCAAGCCCAGAGAGGGGAAGGAAGGTTTCGGGATCACCCAGCTGCTGGGTTTGAACCCAGATATTTTAACATCTAAAGGCCCCGCTTTTGTCCTTCTATCTCATGTGCTTTCTGAGGCCAGAAGTCTTTCCATGCAAATGCAGTCTTCCTCTCATCTCTCCTAGCACACCAGGAAGCCCAGCCTTTCTCAGCTGGTCTGACTGCTATCACCGCCCGGCTCAGGCCCACTCCTGCGCCGGCTTCTGCCTTCACGGACCCTTCTGATCCACCCACCAACCACATGCTGGCAATTGCTCTCAGATTCCACTCGGACAGTGTCATCTGTTTACAGTAAACCCCTCCAGGGCAAACTGCGGGACTCTCAGCAGGTTCAAGGCTGTTTGTGGCCCCCGAGGCACTGTCCCCTCTCCTCCCAACCCACTCCAGCCCAGCCCACAGTGACGGCATCTGACCACTGACCATTGTGCCCTTCAGGCCCCAGCTCTGGGCCTCCTCCTTCCCGTTCCCTGTGCTGGTTATGTCCTTCCCAACGAAGTCTGCAGGGGAACTCTGCATGCTGAGCCCAGGGTCTCCTCTGCCAGGAAGCCTTCTGATTCCCGGCCAGGTTGGGGACTCCTCTGGGTTTTCTTACGGCTTCTGTGCTTCCTGTCATAGCTTTGGCCCCTGAATTGTGCCTATCTGTGTGGGGACCTGCCAGACAGTGAACTCAGAGCAAACAGGGCCTGTTTTGATTAATGTGGATGCCTTGGGCTTGGCTCAGAAGGTGCTCACTAAATTTTTTTTAATGAATGAAAGAGTCGTAGACATCACTGGTTTAGTAAAGGTCTGAGGGATTGAGTCAATCTCCTTTCTAAAAAGAAAGAAAAGGGATGATCCATATATTCAGACTAAAGTCAAAGACTGTTAGAGCATAAAGGGTCCAGCCCACCCAATTCCAGGATGGGGAGACATCTCCCAAGCTTGAAAATGGCAGGGAACCTCCCGAGGTCACGGTGAGTCAGTAACTAAGCCAGCGGGGCTGGAACACCAGCCCCCGGGGCTCCCTGCCTAGCCCAGCTGTCAGCTTCCTCTCAAGATCCCAAGGTGAGGAGGGGGAGGAATGGACTGCCCTCCAACAGGCCCCTGTGTGCCTCTTCCTACTGGATGCAGCACAGTCACCGGCCTGCACAGCGGCCCCGGGATGAACCAGAAACCATCCTGGCCACCAGGCCAGTCTTGCCTGGCTCCTTGCCCCTTTCTCCCTTCCTACCTCTTGGCCTGCTGGGGCCACCAGGCATGGCCCCTCATCTTGTCCTTGGCTCCCGGACCGTCCACCCTTATTAAGGAAGTCTCAGCAAAAGGAACATTAACACAATGACTGCCACTAACCACGAAGCACCAGCTGTGTGGCAGGCTTGTACTGGATGCACAGATCCCGTGCTTCGTTCCATCTCCTAAGGCAGTGGTTCTCAACCTTCCTAATGCTGCGACCCTTTCATACAGTTCCTCATGTTGTGGTGACCCCCCCAACCATACAATTATTTTCGTTGCTGCCTCATAACTGTAACTTTGCTACTGTCATGAATCATAATGTAAATAGCTGATATGCAGGATGTCTTAGGAGACCCCTGTGAGAGGACCGTTCGACCCCCAAAGGGGCCTGGACCCACAGGTTGAGAACCGCCATTAAGGCATATTTACCTCATTGTACCCTCTGAGGAAACTGAGGCTCGGAGGAGGAAGGTGGCTTCCCCGAATCATACAGTCAGAAGCTCAAAACTACCACTGGGAGTTCCTTTTCCTACTGCCAGCCAAGTTTGGCCACGGTGCCCTCAGCTGAGCAAGTACCCAGGTTGAGTCCTCCAGCAGAGTAAACACTAGGAACACCAGTTACCACTGCCTGAGCATTTACCATGTGGGGAGCACTGTCCTATGCATCACATATTATCCTACAGGCAAGCCTCTGAATTCTCAAAGGCTCCCGGGGCCACCAGCCCCTGAGAGGGAGTCAGGACACAGGCTGGCCAAGCCCAGAGCCTAAGGCTTGCTTTCTGCCCGGGTGCCCAGGCCCCCTGCCAGAGGCCCAGAGGCGGAGCCTGCGGGCAGTGCTGCACCGCTGCCCGGCTCTGCAGTGCAGTCGGAAGGAGCTAGAAGGCCAGTGCGGCTCCCTGCACTCCGCCTCCTGCTGCCTGAGCTCTCAGCCCTCAGCACCACTGACTTGCTTGGGAAAGGGTCTGGGAGGAGTCAGCCCTTAGCCAAATTCGGAGCTGCCCTTGGCAACACTCTACCCGCTCTCTCTGGGGTGACAGGGTGTCACTGCCCAAGTTTTTTTGTTTTATGTGGGTTTTTTGTGTGTGTTTTTTTGTTTTTGTTTTTGTGGGGTTTTTTTGTTTGTTTGTTTTGTGTGTGTGTGTGTGTGTGTGTGTGTGTGTGTGTTTTAGGAGGGATGAAGACTTGCCACCCAACTCCATTTTACCACCTGCACAGAGAGGGAAGCAGGGCAGCAAGAGTCACTCGCAGTGGGCAGCATAAGCCCGGGAGCTGGGTTCGAATGCTGCTCTACTGCTTCCTATCTGCATAACCCTGGTAGCCACAGCTCTTCTCTCGGCCTCAGTTTCCTCAGCAGAAAGAGGAATCTGAGCAGCAGACAGGGAAAGTTCTTAGCATGCAGCAGGCACCCTGTGAGCCCTCGGCAGATGAAAAAAAAAAAAATTATCTTAAAAATCATCATGACTCCTTCTGTGGCAGTCCAGAAAGCACCTTTCTGCCTGTTATCTCATTCTCCCCGATCCAAAGCTCACCCAGTTCTGCTTCCTGCTGGGTGGCCAGGGCCTTCCCTTCTCCGAGTCTATCTCCCTGGCAGAATGTGGGGCTGCGTTTGGTGACATTGAGGCCTTCCCTGCCTGTGATTCCGGGCTCTGGGAAGGGTTCTCAGAGGGCTCTAAAGAGCAAGAGGTAAGGCAACCACCCCAGGACGCTGCAGCCTCCAGGAGCAGGTGGCCGTTCTGTGTCATAAGCCTCAGCCCCAGGTCCAAGTGGGCTGCCACAGGGCCTGTCTCTTCCCCAGGGCAAGCTCCTGCCTTGCACTCAGTGACGGCCCAGCTTTACAAGCGGACCTGGGTGGTCTCCTTTCCCTGCGCCCCACAGGGTGACAGTCACTGCAGGGCTAGTCTCCCGGCAAGGGGCGGGAAAATGGAACAAAGTGAATCAAACACGGCCCCTGCCCGTGGGAAGTTCTAGGTCTGGCGGGGAGACAAGCCTGGGCCCACTTTCAAACTATACTATGTGCTCACTATTGAGATGGAGGGAAGCTTGGGGCTGGGGAAGACCAGGGAAAGGAGCACACAGGACCATGTCAGCCTGGGGGGAATCGGAAGAGGCTTCCTGAAGGGGGCAGCATTTGACCCAGGCAGTGATGAGTGAGGCTTCCCAGCAGGGATGTGGCCGATGGGCCCACGTCAAGGAGCCCAGGACCCAAATCAGAAAAGCCCTTCCCAGCTGACTGACCCCAAATTCTGTATCACCCTGTGGCGGCAGAGGGAATGGAGTCCAATATTGGCCCCAGTGGTCCCAGGTGAATGACCTTGGACAAGTCACTTAACCTCTCCAAGCCTTAGCTTCCAATTCTGTAAAATGGTACTTACCAGGCAGGATTAATGGTAAAGAAGGTATTTAAACATTCTAGCAGATGCTAATCAAATGCAAGGTTTAAATTAGCATTCCTTTTCCTTTTCTGACTCCTCTGGTTTTGGCTTCTGGAGCTGGGACGTCAGAACCCCGTAGGGCAGGGTGGGGTGAGGGTGGGAGCTTACCCTGCCAAGGCAGGGCTTCTTACCATCTTACAGGGCACCTTGTCTCCCTGCTGGGAGGTAGCCAGGCCCAGGGTCAGCACGGGCAGGAGCAGCAGGATCTGGTGGCTCATGGCTCTGCGTGGGGCAGGGAGGAAAGGGGACATTGTAAAACCCAGGCTCCTTCCCATGGCCAGCCCGTACCCTCCCAGCCTGCCCTCAGAGAACTCCAGACCACAGCTGTATCTGACGTTAAGGTGTAGCCCATCACAGAGGGCCTCCAATGCTACGCCAAGGCAAGAGGCCATGCCCCTGGAGAGAGTGTTTAAACAGTGGGCGACATGGTCAGATTTGGGTTTCAAAAGACTTCACCTGGTGGAAGACAATCTGGAGGAGGCGAGCAGGAGGCAGAGTGACCCTAGGGGCTGCCCTGGGCCCACCTCAGGGCTGGGGGGAGGGGAGGTGGGGAGCTGGGCCCCTGACTCCCTTTCTACCCAAGCCACAAGCAGGTCACCCCTTCGTAGCTCCTCAGACCCCAAATGGAATTACACACACACACACACACACACACACACACACACACACACACACACGGACCTTTATTTTGCTCTTTTCCTTTTGATTTTCTGATTCTTGAGTCCCTGCCATTGTTTGATGGCTGGGCCTGGAGTCCTGACAGGAAACCCCACCGGAGGCTTGCCCCGGCCCGGCATTGTGGCTGCGAACTTCCCGAGGAGCAGGCTGCCAGGCCCTTTACTTTCACTGAAGCCACCACCGTGCCAGGCAGGGGGACACGCAGGCCTGTGGGACCTGCCCTGCCCTGTGTGAGCAGCCAGGGTGCCCTCAGCAGGGTGGAACCTCAGTGCTTCTAGGAGCTCACTCACTGGCGACCTGGGTCAGGGGCTAGGAATACACAGCTCAATCTATCCATTTCATTCATTCATTCATTCATTCATTCACTCACACTTTTATTGAATGCCTCCTCACATCTAGCTCTGTGCTAGGAACTGGGGACACAAATAAATGCACAGAAGTGGCCGTAATACACACAGAGCATTAAGAAGCAGGGATACATAAAATCCTCTAAGAGCACTGGACTCAGAGTCACCCATATCCAACTGTTCCCTCTGATTCCTCCACTAACCTGCTGTGTCGCCTTGTGCAGATCATTTCACCTCTCTGAGGCTCAGTTTCCTTTTCTGGGGTTAATGCTGACTTCACCAAGTTTTCTTAAATATCAAATAATACATATATTCTACTTAGGGAGCCCTTAGTATGCACGCTTCTCCACACTTCACATGTATTAACTCATTTAATCCTCACCATCACTCAATGACTTGACTCCGTGATTAGCAGTCCCATTTTACAGACAGGAAAACTGAGGCCCAGAGAGATTAAGTAACAGATTCAAGGTCTCACAGACAACAAGTCTGGCTCCTAGGTCTGTGCTCTTAACCTCTACACTATGTGGTCTCTAAAAAGGCCTCAATAAATGGGAGCTGAGGTGTAGACTCTGAAGGTGCTTTAGGAGAAGATGTATTTATAGGACCTTTGAGGGCTGGGTCTTTACTATTAGACCCATTGGCTGTCCTTACAATGAATTTTAAATGAAGGTGGCTGCCTGAGTTCCTTTATTGTTCAAATGTGTCTTTTAAACCCTGTTCCCTGGGTTCCCCTGGGCCAGGGGCCTCTGCCCCCACAAATGCTCGCTCTTCTCACCTGCATCATGGGCCAGGCTTTTACAGGAAATTTTGTTCTGCTGTTTAAAAAGCAGAACATCACCACACACGCAGAATTGAGTGGAACCCCCTCAGGGGGCCTCTGAGGCCCTTGGGGAGTGTGCCTTGCGGCCAACCTCATTTCTCACCCTCCCCTCTCCCACTCTGCGTTCTGGAAGCCTCCTATTTTCTTCAGGCCTCAGAGCCCCTTTCGCTGCTCCAACCCTTCCCTCACCCTCTCTCTTGTGCTGAATACCTCCTTGTCCTTTGGGTCTCAGCTTAGATGTCACCTCCTCCAAGGAGCCTTCTCTGGTTTCCCAAGTGTAGGCTATGTGATTGGCTCTGCCTCCGGGTTCCCACAGCCCCTGAGCTTCCAGTGAGCACAGCACCGGGCACTCTGGGATTGCCCCTCAGGAGGAGTCTCAGGGACAGGGCAACACGGGGACAGTGGCGAGAGCAGATGCTCTCCTTGACCTCCCTGCCACACGCCTTCCTCCCTGTCAGTGGGTTTGGTCTGTTCTCTGAGGAAACCCCCAGAGCTGCCCACCTCCCTCCTCCATCATTACCACAGAGTCACCACCATGACCCTGGGCCTCCACCACAGCAACACCTTACGTCCACCCCGACCCCTTTCAGTCTGTCCTTCACACAGCGGCCAGAGGTGTCGTTAAACCATAGATCAGATCATGAATCTCGTTGCCTGAAAACCTGCAGTATAATCCAGGCTTGATCCCCCTCCTCTCTGACTCCATCTACCATTTGCCCTTCCCTCAGCAAATCCTAGTGTTTGCCATTCTTCTCACCATTCCTCAACCACCGCAAGTGCATTCCCACCCCAGGGCCTTTGCCCCGCTGCTCCCTCCGCCTGGAAGGCTCTTCCCCAGCCCTTCCCATGGCTTACTGCTTTCATCACGTTGATCACTTCCTGATCATTAATGTTTTATTCTATGAGGACAGGAGTCTACCAAAGGGTGCTCACCAGCGATCGATTGAACAAATGGCAGAGGGAGGGGTGCCGAGCTCTACTGAAATGGGCTGAGGGGTAAGTGTGAGGTGAGGACAAGGAAGGGCTTGGCGCAGAACTGGAAGGCACTGCAGCCCAAAGGGGCCCTCATTCCCCCCTCCTCTGCCTGCCAAATCTCATTCTGCCCCCAATTGGGGCATCAGGGCATCCAGCATGGACAATCCCTGTACCAGCGGAGCTCGGGCCTGGCATCTGACAGAAGGGGGCCCCTCAGCAGTGGGCATCCATCAGCAGTGCCCAGAACAAAGGGCACTGCTGATGGATGTGTGGAATTTGAGGGCAACTCACTCTCACGAGGGAAAGCTGGGGTCACTTAGACCCAGACTGACATCTAGACTGCTGTTCCCCAGCCCGTTCTGGGGCAAGCCCCTTAACCCTCCAGGGCCTCAGTGCCCCATCAGTAGGGCAAGTGGCCTGGTTCCCATTCTACCGCTGGCCTCTCCCACTAATGTGATGAGCAAGCTGATACTGCCTGTGATAATGTCCTGGACAGATTGTCTGTTTAGCTGGGACAATGACCGGCAGAGCTAAACAGCTTAGGCGAGGTATGCTGAGAATGGAGACCGCAAGCTTGTAGACTTAGAGGCCAAGGCAAAAGATATCTTAGGATTCTGACCAGGAAGAGAAATGTTAAAGAATGTGTGTGTGTGTGTGTGTGTGTGTGTGTGTGTTTGTGTGTGTGCAGAAAGAGAGAGGGTGGGGGGAATGAGGTGGGACAATGCCTACTATCATAAATAAGCCCATCCTTACCATTTAAGAATGCTAGACATTCTCCTAAGTACCCGACCTATATTATCTCACTTACTTCTCACAACAAACCAGTAGTTACTATAATTTTCCATTTTACAGATGAGGAAAACTGAGGCTCAGAAAGATAAAATGATTTACCCAGCAGGTTACCCAGCTCATGAGTATGTTGGGATTCATCCCAGGTCTGCATGACCCGAATGCTGTTTTCTCTCCAGCAGGTGCTGAACTGCCTGGCGCCTTTCTAACTGTCCCCAATTTGCCTATGAGGAAAACAAAGCTCAGAGAGGCGACTGACCCAAAGTCACACAGTCAGTTAACAGAGTCAGGATGAGAATCCAGTCTGTCTGGTTCCAAAGCGAATGGTCCACTGCACCAGGCCAAGATCTCCCTCTCTAACTCCCTCTAATGACAGCTTCCCCCCAACATCCATAAGGGGACAGGCTCACAGGGCTGGTCCCGGCGACTCCCCCTTCTCTGCTCATCAGGGACCACTGGCAGAGTGGGGTCCCGAGAGAGCGGCTGTGGGAGCCCCTAAACCAGCAGTGAATCATTAAGGGCAGACATGTGCATCCCACGGAGGAATTAGACCTTAACCCAAAGGAATGCGGCTGTGATGACGGAATTTCAGGCAGCTCAGGGTGGGGGTAGGGGTCCCTCACATCTTACCACCCATGAAGACGGCTGTGCCAGGGACCCCTGAAGAGAGGGGAGGGTCCTCCTTAGCCCCTCACCTCAGGTAGGCAAGCTATCTGGTGCGGTGGGATGGGAAGCCCCACGCCCAGCCGCCCAGCGCAGAGCAGAGGATCATAGGAGCTCTGGATGGATTCAAATCCTAGTCTGCCCTTAACTAAAGGTACGTTCCCGCCAAGGGCTGTCAAATGGGCACAGGTCTCACTTTTTTTGCGGGGAAAGATCTGTTGAGTTAGCAGCCTGGGAGACCTCCCAGGAGGGTCAACCCTGACTCCACGTGGGAGGTGGAGGACGGGGGCGGGAGGAGGACCCAGCCCCGCTCCAGGTCCTCTGCTCCGGAGAGGCGCGGGGCAGGCGGTTCCCCGAGGGCGGGCCAGCCACCCCCCACCCCCGTTCGCTCCTACCTGGCTCAGCGCGGCCGCCGCTCCTTGCCCGCGCAGCCCCGGCACATTTTGCGCGAACCCGCTCCCCGGTCCCACCCCGCGCCAGACCCCGGGGTCGCGGCCCGAGGAGGCGCCCGGCAGATCCTCCGCCCCGCGGGAGCCGAACCCGCGAGGGCCCGGCTCGGGCTCCCATTTAAATACCTCTCCCGCCCCACCACGCCTCCCTTCGGGCCGGCCGCGGGGTCCTAGCGCCGCCGGTGTTGCCAAGAGGGAGCGAAGCATCAGCTTCTTGGTGCTGAAATCCCGGCCAGGAGGCGGCGGGCTGCAGGGGCTGGATCAAAGGGGCCGGAGGGAGAGGGGTCGCCGAGGAGGCCCCGTGCCAGCTAGGCTGGCCCGGGCCGCCGCACTTGCAGTTCGCGGCCCCGCGGGGTTTTGGAGGACTGGCGGCTCCGGGAGCCCCAGGTCCGCAGAGGAAATCCTGCCTGGTCCCGAGTTCCCGCTGCCAGCGCAGGGCACTTAGTGGGGGGGGTTAGGTAGGGGGGCGAACAGGAGGAGTGACCGCGGGTTTGAACCAGGAAGGAAATGACCCTGCGCTGGCCCTGGGGCGGCCACCGAGGGGATTCCCCCGCCGTGGCTATCTCCTCCGGACAGTCCAGGCAAGTCACTTCCCCCTCTGGATGTGGTCTGGTATCCAGGCCTGTCACCCTGTCACCGACCCTGAAGCAGCCCTGGGAGCCGGTCCCACCCAGGTGTCCAGCTTGCAGATTGTGAGACTGAGGTTAGGCATGGGGACAACGAATATGAATAAACACCAGTGGTCTGCGATGGCTAAGAGCCCATTGATCTTTGGGAAACCGAGTCTCAGAAAGGTTCAATGGCATATCCAAAGGCATGCAGTCTGTAAGAGGCAGTGATGGGAGTCCATTGTGTGCACAGAGCGAAATTCGGTCCAGCTGAGGGCCCCCTCTGCAGGCACCATTTTGCTCAGGTTAAAACTCTGTGCAAGGTAGCATGGTGGCATCACTGACCTTTACATCAGAGACGGAAGCAAACCTTCCCCGAGCCACCCCTCTTCTCCATGGATGCCTTGACCCTACCAAGTCCAGGGGATGGTGGTTCCCCTGCTGGGGATGAGGGTGTTGAGGGAGGAGGGTCAGGGCTTTCCTTAGAGTCTGGTTTCCCAGGATAGAAGGGAATTCCTCTTCCGCACTGTTTCTCTCTCCTGATAGAGTGGCACAGGGGCCCGTCTTACAGGTGGGAAAGCGACCGCCCAACGCGTGTGGTAAACCAGGGTGACGCTGGGCTCAGAGCTGGGTTCCCTGCATGCCGGATGGCCGCTGCCTTCCCATGTGGCTCCCTGTGGGGATGGGCCTGGGCAGAAGGGGGACAGCCCAGAGGACAAGAGCTAGGACAGCTGGAGGCCCAGGGCCTACCCTAGCCTCCGAGGAGGAGATGGGGAACCTTCCCGAAGGCGGGCACTGAGCTGCAATGAAAACCTGGGCAGGGAAGGCTGCAGGCTGTGGGCAGAGTGTCCAGACCCCCACCTTCCCTCCAGCCACCTGGGGCCTCAGACTTTTGCTCATGGAGGTCCCAGCCGGTGATCCCAGCTCTCTCTCTCTGGGCTCTAGTGCCTATCCAGTCAGATGGAAGCTCCGTTTCCCTGTCTGTAAAGAGGGGGAGAAAGTAGCCACCCCTCTGGGTTGGTGCCAGAACTAAGTGTAGTGGGCCCAGCCCGGGGCCTGCACCCATGGGCGCTGGGTAGCTTCTCGCTGTCTTGATGGTGATTGGTGATACCTCTGCTATACCTTGCAGGCTTCCTTTTCCAGATCCTTATCCAAGAGGCCAGCTAATGCCCAGGAAGTGATTGCTAGCAGTTCTTCAATACGGGCAGGACATGGCTGTGTTGGATTCAGGCAGTTCCTGGCTCTCCCACCTGACCTGAGCCCCACCTCCCACCCTAGACCCCAGGCGAGCTGAGCTCGGCTGCACCCTTTTCTTAGCTGCTGCCAAGAGCAGATGCTGGGCTGGCACCAACTCTGATGGGGCCGGCGTAGGGCAGGGCTGGGGCCATGGCCGGCTGGGGAGAGCAGCCTGCCTGCCTCCCCACACAACCCCAAAGGCTGCGGTTGTGGTTCGTTCGCCAGTTTCTACCTCACTCAGTGTCCAGATGGGGCTCCCCAAGAGTTAGACACGGATGGGCAACCAAGTGCGCCCACCTGCTGCAGATGCCCCTTGAGACCAGGGGAAGATAGAGGCTGGGAACCCCGCATGTTCAGCACCCCTCCCTTCGCCTCTTCACTCTCAGCAGTCCTGTTGCTGTGTGATTTTTGGCAGGTTGCCTGAACTTTCTGACCTCCGTTTGCTGTTCTGCAAAGTGACACTAATATTAGCGCCCGGCGTCCCAGCTTGCTGTGAAGATTAAATGCAATCACGTCTGTCAAGTGGTTCACTGAGGGCCTAGCCCACGGTCCTTCCTCAGGCTTGTCCTGGGGAACTGGTGGACTCACCCTGTGGAGCACCCCGTCCAGATGGGAGGCAGAGGAGGACATAGGATGATCGAGGCCTCGAAGGGAGTCGGAGCTTGATCTGAAGGAAGAGAGGTTGGAACGGAGCAGGTGGGATTTGCCCAGTAGCCATGTGAAAGGTTGCTTTCTTTAAAGAGTCTGGTTTAGTTTCTTTAAAGAGTCTGGAAGTCCAGCCTTCCGTCCACTGTTGCCTACTTAGCTCCTGCTCACACACCTCCAGAACAGGGAGCTCTGCCGGACCGCCCACCAGTGGGCCGCTCCGCCTTCCCCGTGTTGGTGTTTTTGTAGCTATGCCGCCAGCCCCATCTGCATCTGTCAGTGCACATAGGAGACACGTCTTTTCCTGTGTCCTTAGGAGTACCGTCCTGAGGTGAGAAGACCCTTTCAGGCACCAAGTCAGGTGCAAAGCCTCCTGGGAGGGTTTTACCTCGGGTCAGAATGAAACAGAAGGATCCCAGGTGGGATCGGGTGGCCTGGGCAGGCAGTGATGTGCATATCCTGTGTGGCCGTGGACACGTTGCTAACTGTAGAACTGGAGTGAGAAGGATGTGAGTTTCCAGGACTCGTTGCTGAATACCCATCGTGGGCCAGTCCATCTCCTGCGGGAAATCGGGTAAAGACAGACACAGACAGCATTCCAGTTAAGTGTCTTTATTCTCAATTACTAAGAAACGTATGCTCAGAGAAGTCAGCTTTGGAAGCAGGAATTGAGCCCACGTCTCCAGACTCTCAGTCCAGATCTCAGTGCACGGATGCAGCTGTCCTCACTCCGTGCCCCTGCCAGCACCTCTGTGGGCCCCCAGGAGTCAGGAAGTTCCCTCCTCAACCCCTATTGCGGCCCTGCCTTTTGGGGCAATAACCCTGGGTTCCCCAGCTCTTCTGCCCATCCGCCCTCGCTCCCGAGGGACACTGGGCTCAGGCCATACCAGCGAGGGCCGCCTCCTGGAGGGGCCGTAGGAAAGGAGAGCGAACGCTGCTGAATGCCAGCTGTGGGGAGTCTGCGGGCCCAAAGCCAACACTGGGCGCTTGGGAAACAAACATCAGGGGGCAGGTGGTGTGTCCCTTGCTCTGAAGAATAGCTGAAGTGTTAAATGGGATTAATGAGGGCTTTCAGGACTGGGCCTGCTGCCAGGCACTTCACTTGAATCATCTCCTTCTCATGTCGTCCACAAAGAGGGGACTCTCAGGGCCTGTCTTCTGTGGAAGAGGGACTGAGGCTCGGAGGGATGGTGGCTTGTGCCTAGTCACTCAGCCACCAGATGAAGAAGGACAGGACACAGCAGCCATGCCCATCCAAGTCCTTGGGCTCCAAGGCCCTCGGGCACGGCCAGCAACAGGCCTGGCTGGTGTTCTGTTCTCCCTGTGGCACTCGGAGCGACCAGTGCAGGGGAAGCAGGTGCTGGTGAGGCCCCATGTGTGCCCCAGCTGCCACATCAGAGGCTTTCGGCTCTGGCTCTGGTCAGTGAGAATGGAGGTTGAGGGCCTGGAGGCTCCCAGAGGCCCCAAGGGAGAGAGGGGATGTTAGGTGAGAAAACCCGAGATGGGCGAAGCGGGCAGGGCAGGATCAGAAGCGTTTCCACACTTTGAGTGTGCCGTGTCATGCACCGTGAAACCACAGCTCTCTGCAGCTCCTGGGCTGCTGGGAACCGGAGGGCTTGTCCCTGTGAGTCCTCCGTGTTAACCATTTGACGGTTAGACCCGACGTACCCTTTTCTGGATGATTCAGAGCTGATGGAATGGGCTTTGGTTAGGCCCGTGATGTCATAAAGTGTCATCTTCATGTTAACAACAGCTACAGAGACAAGCACAGGGCGGGGTCGCAGCGGACGCGTGAGTGCCCCTGGCTGAAGGCAGCACTCGTTGGAGGAAGGCCTGCCACGGGGAGCTGGTGGCCTTGGGCCAGTCATTTTCCTCAGGCTGGCTGGCTCCGTTTCTCATACATGTAATGGGGCAGTCATTTTGCCACTGCAGGGGGGTTTTGAGATGATGACACTGGAAGCCTGAATGGATAGCGGTGGGCCAGGATGAGTACTGATATCGTTGTCCTCATGTGGAAGGCGGCTTGGCTGCGGGGACAGAAGGAGCCCTCAGTGACAGGAGACAATGACTGAGAGGGGGCGGGGTTGAAGGGACTCTGTCACTGCAGGCTCAGTGGTCCCAGAGCAGAGGGGGGTCCCGGGCTCCTTGGGGGGAACGGTTGTGGTCCAGATAGGCCATCCCATGGTGGAGTGGCCCTTGCCTCCGGGGGTTCCCTGGAGGTCCATTCCCAACTTCCTAACCTTTCCAAACTTCAAGCTCTTTGCTATGTTGGGCTTCTAACCAGCCACGGGCTCCTGTCTTCATCTGGGTGGTCAAAGCCCCGAGGGCTGGCAGAGCTTCCAGAAACAGACAACACATGTGTGTACCCAGGTGATCCCCACAGACAATGGTCACCCCTCAAAGTGTCAGAGGATCCC